TGCTGTAGCACGAAGAGTATGTCCTGAAAATATATTAACAACTGCGGAACAGTTTCGCGCAGTCACCATGAGCGTAATATTATACCATCGCAAATGCGAATAATTTCCCAGTGCCTGATTTTCCGCTAATGCGACGATAATAAAACCATAGTTTATTCAGATTCTTTGCAACTAAAACTCTGAATAAGCATTAGGATTACACACTTTTCTTGAATGAGTAGAAAAACTAGAAATAAATAATCATCTTTGCTTACCACAGGCAAATCTCGCAGTAAACGTTACAATAAAATGGACGAAACATAAAATTTCACTCCGCCTCTCACAGACTAAACTAAAGTGGCGCATATTCATATTGCCTTCGTTTCTATTGTCGGCCGCTAAACATCGCCGCTATTACGAACTTTGTTATCTACTACAAGTCTTCAGAAAATTAAGGGCGCAGAATTCGACTACCTGTCCCTACTCTTTAACCGATTTCGCTCTTCTTTTATCGCTTGAATTAAACAGCGTAATTGCAAATTCTCTCCAGCCGCATTATTTCTTGTAACTTATTGGTTTTGCATTGTCATTACTTTCCATAAATCTAGTCCAGTGCTTAATTCAGTGTTAGTACTATGTCTGGCGTCATTTCGAAAAGGTTTCTTTACAGTCACCCCAGTTCTCGCATTTCTTATACGGAATGATCGTCTGAAAGCTACCGGAAAATCGTTCGGCCAGCCGCATAGATGGGAGAGGCAGATGATCCTTGTGCCTACTCGGGCAGCAGAGATTCTGACTAGTGGTGGTCTCGACAAACCATACACATTACGCATCGTCTTCAATATCGTCCCGATAAATAACTGAACAGTTAACTTGAAGCAAGCATATACGTTACTTGCTGTTCGAGCGTAATCTCGTGCAACAATACTAAATATTCGTTCAGTCGCATTGCGTCTTGTGCCAAAATTTCACATTCATGTACATCTGTGTGAAAAGTGGTGTTGTAAGAAAAGTAACGAGAAGATTACGGAGTTAATATCAGGATGACGCAGTTCCAGATAGAAAAAAAAAACTCCATAGAATCACTAATACGTAACGACATTGGAAATGACTTTTACAAAAAAAAAAAAGGGAGGGGGAAGCAAAACACCGATTACTCACTGAAGATAAATGGGATGAAATCGGTTGTAGGGTTTAATATGCTCATCGAAAATCCCTCAGGCGCCTTGCTCAGGGACTGGATTTTAAAAAATGTCAACATAAAGTGCCACAAAATCCAATTCTGCAGCTACTCAAGAATTTCCCAGCATTTTATGGAACCAGAAGGTTCATTATCGTGTTCACAAGAGCCCTCCACTGGTCCCTGTCCTGAGCCAGATCAATCCCTCTTTGGTCCAAATATTCTCAACATCTTGTTCTCTAACACCCTCAGTCTATGTTCCTCCCTTAATGTCGGAGACCAAGTTTCACACCCATACAGCACCACAGGAAAAATTATAGTTTTGTATATTCTAATTTTTATGTTTTTGGACAGCAGACGAGAAGACAAAAGGTTCTGGACTGAATGGTAGCAAGCATTACCCGAGTTCAGTCTCTTAATTTCCTCCTGAATCATGTTTCGATGAAACTACTTAGACTAATAAAAATGCGTTTAAAAGAAACATATAGTAAAGACCATATAGGTAAACATTTGTCTCATAATTTTCCTATTCGGAATGGTCTAAAATGAGGAGATGCTTTATCAACATTGCTTTAGAATCTGCCATTAGGAAGGTTCAGAAAAAACCAGGTGGGAGTGAAAGCAAATGGGACACATCTGCTGCTCTTCTATGGTGATGATGTGGATTTGATGGGTAATAACACAGATATGGTAAAGAAAAACACAGAACGTTTAACTGATTCTAGTAAGGAGGTTTGCATAGAAGTAAACCCAGAGAAAAGTGAGTACATGTTCTCTCTTGTCACCAGAATGCAGGGTAAAATCATAATGTAGAGATAGCTATCAGATGTTTCGAAAATGTGGCACAGTTCAAATATTAGGGAATTATTAAAGAACAACAGTTACAAATCGATACCTGATTCAAGAAGAGACTGAATTTGGGTAATGCTTGCTATCACTTAGTCCAGAACCATTTGTCTTCCCATCTGCAGCCTAAAAACATAAGAATTAGAATATGCAAATCTATAATTTTGCCTATGGTTCTGTATGGGCGTGAAACTTGGTATCTGTCATGAAGGGAGGAACACAGACTGAGTGTGTTTGAAAACAGTGTGTTGAGAAGAGTATCTGGACCAAAGGGAGGTGAGTGACAGGAGGTTGGAGAAAACTGCATAATGAGGAGCTTCATAAGTTGTACTCTTTGCCAAGTATAATTAGAATGATCAAGTCAAGGAGGGTGAGATGGTCAGGGCATGTAGCATGAATGGGGATAAGAGGAGTGCATATAGGATATTGGTGGAAAAGCCAGAGGGAGAGAGACCACTAGGAAGACCAAGACGTAGGTGGATCTTAGAGAGATAGGATGAGGTGGTATGGACTGATCTGGCTCAGGGTAGGGACCATTGGAGGGGTCTTGTGAACGCGGTAATGAACCTTCAGGTTCCATAAAATGCTGGGAAGTTCTTGAGTAACTGTACAGCTGGTGGCTTCTCAATAAGGGCTCAACTTCATGAAGTAAGCTAGTATTTTAGTCTAAGCTCAGTTTCTAATGGCAGAAATCCCTTTCTGATAACCTCTGTTTATAATATATGTAAACTGTTTTCTTTGCAGTGTTGACTTTGCCTTTTGATGGAGGCAAGTAGTGGCCAAAACATGTAAAGGATTTATATTATACTAAATTGTTGCACTTGATGGACCTCGCTACTCATTTACCTATTCATTACCCAAGAGTTCACAGCTGGTCCCTATCATGAGCCAAATGAATATACTCCACACCTTTATGTCATATTTATTTAAGATTCATTTTAATATTTCCTTAACATTTACGCTTGTGTTTTCCAAGTGACTTCTTTACTTCTGGTTTTCCAATTACAGTTTTGTATGCATTTCACATATTTCCTATGCAAATTTTGAACACACAATAGCCAATGGACCAAGAAATTTGGTTGAAGTGCTAACGCTTCTGAACTGTGTTCTGTAGGTACCGAGATTGAATCTCAACTAGGTCACCAACTATTCTGCCAGAGGTTTCTCGAAATTTTCCTCAGCTAATTCATGCAAATACGGGGGCACCGCCTCAGAGTAGCCCACGTCACTTCCTTCAACATCTTTCCAATTCATTATTTACTGCTAATTATCCTACTGTACAGTGCTGCTAAATAAAACAGATTGGTCAAAAGTAGAAATTATGCCTCTCTCTATGATATTTTGTCAACTTCCATTCTTCTTTTAGGTCCAGATATTCTCCTTTGGCATATTTATCTCCTATAAAGTAGCATAAATTTGAAAGCTTAAACACTTTCTAATTAATGGACACCATTTGTTTTGTACAGTTCCTATAATACATTTCTCTCTCAAGACTGCAGTGTCTTAGCACGTTCATTTTAGAGCTCATAATGAAAAATCCCACATAATCATCCATAACACTAATCATTATGCCTAATATTGGAATGGATTATTTTATATGACATTAAAGCATAAAGTGACTTTTATCTTCTGCAGGAACACATCTTTTACAACAAAATATGGTGTATAACCAAAATGAAGTGTATATAGTCTGCTGTTATTAAGCAAAACCAGAAATTCATATAAAACTGGTTGGCATATGTATTTGTTACATAATATGAAAAATCTTGAGAGAGATGCCATCATCTGCATGTTGTGACCCTTCAAATAACAGTATTATGATAACTGTCCATTTTATAGCGGGTGCTGATGTGTTGATGACAAATACATATCAAGCCAGTATTGGAGGATTTATAAAATATCTTGGACTGAGCAAGGAAGCAAGCTATGAGTTGATTAAAACAGCAGTAAGTTTGGCAAAATTAGCTTGCTCACTCTATGCTACAGAGGTGGGATCCACTGCAGGTTTGTTAATTAAAAGTACTTATAGCTATGAATGGTATTACAGGTATGCAAATGTGTGTGTGCCCATACATTCATATATACTATTTTAGCTAATGTACGTGTTCTTCACTTAAGTGTTTAGTAAAATAAACTGTACAGAAGTAATGAAATAGATACCTACATACCAAACTGCATACCATCACATTCCAGAAGACTACAATCTTCTTAATCTTTGAATATTAATCTCACTGCTTTGAACATCTCAAATATTACACAGTGAAATTGTTTATTTTTGTCTTATATCACTACAAAAGTTCATAAACATTAATATACACTATCTTCTAACCCATACATATAAGTAAGTACACTGTAAGAAACAAATACTTGTCATTAATTCAGGTATTAACAGCGAAAGGATACATGACACATCTTTTTATTATTTACTGTTATTATGATATATCTTTCAAATAACATATCTCTATGTGGAGTAAGCCGCATGTAGTTATCTAGTGGACAAAACAGCAGTGGACACTGATCACTTTATGCATTATAATATTGTCATGTGATAGAGTGACTATAGACAGGTTCTGTACTGATGACTCGATTTATTGCTTACTCTGATACCGTGCGTGACCACACTTTAAAAATCACTGTTACACACACACTAGTTGTCACTTAGTAGCAGCTTCCAGTGGTGGATGTTCCCCTTTGTCTGGGTTCCCAAACCATCCCTGGCCTCTGCTACCAGCTTCTAATAACAACAGCGACTGAACACCACAGCAGTTCTCAAACTAACAACAAAAAGTTAAAGTCAAATTTATGTTACAACTGATGGTCAGTCAGCCAGTCTGTATTGGTGTTGAGCATCCATCTGAGGCCCAAGACCACATTTTTATTACTCTCATTTGTGGGTTTGTTCATGTGGGGTGCTCTCTCTGAAGAGAGGATGGGTCTGTCACTTACAATTGCTGTTGGGTTTCACCGATGCGCTCATTCTCGGGTCCAAGTCCCACAGGATTCAGCACCATATTTTACTCTTAGATTTGAGACTTCCCCAACCTGGAGGGCCAGGTCCCCATATTTGTATGTCCCGGGAGACGGTGACCCAGTTATACCCCCAAGCACTGGGTTCCATTTCCATTGCCTCCTATGACTTTTAGGGCTATGGAGGAGGTATTTGAACCAACATTTTGGCTGGGAGCTAACTCTATCTGCAACTGCTAACTGGTCCTGCTTGTATCATCTCAGCATGGACCACATAGGAAATGTATCTTCCTTTATAGCTGCATTCTCTTGTTGCCAGGGAAACAAGCATGTTTGTGGAGCCGTTACTTAGTGATGGCTGTTGTATAGTCGCTTGTTTCATGGTCACTGCCTTGCAACAGGTCTACATGCCATTTCTTTTTTCCAAGGGCTGTGCTTGTAATGTCTATGATCAGGCTCACCTTCCTTCCCTGTAGCTCAGCTCTCATGGTGATTACTTCACTTCATTAAAAAGCCACTAACATTTATATTTAACATTTCATTATGTTCTGGAACCTTCCCAAATTTTATGAAGATTGCAAAAGTTCGGCCTATTCATAAAAAAGAGGTAACAAATTCTCAATTATAGATCAATTTCAATTTTGCCAGCTTTTTTAAAAAATCTAGAAATATTAATACATAAAGAGTAAGCAAACACAACATGATATCTGAGGCACAGAATGGCTTCAGACAGAAGAAATCCATTAATACAACAATGCAAACATTTATAGATTTGCTAAAGTGGAGTTGTATGAACTTAGAGGAATAATACACTCATGGATGAGTACATATCTTACTGGTAAACTCAGTTTTTGGAAATACAGCGATTAGATGAAAAGGACTATAAATATAAAGACATTTTGATATCAGTTTATAATCAATTGTGTTGAAGGCCCCTAGGTATGCCTTTGATACATGATACATAACAGGATGCAGAAAATAAAGATAATTATAAAGTATATCATTTTAAACATTTGATATCTACTTTATTATGAGACAACAAGCACAAACAGTTATGAAAAAGTTCTTCTGTTGATCCTCTTCCCTAGATGCACGCAAGATACTAATAGCAGGTGCGGTAGGACCATATGGGACTGCTCTACATGACTGCTCAGAGTACACAGGCAGCTATGTGGCACATGTGAGTCGCAAGGAAATTGCTGATTGGCATCGACCAAGAATACAAGCACTGGTGGAGGCTGGTGTTGATATCCTTGCTTTTGAGACCATTCCTGCTCAGTCAGAAGGAGAAGCTCTGATGGATCTGCTCAAGGAGTTTCCTGAACAGAAAGCTTGGCTTTCTTTCTCATGTAAGGTTCGTACAGTTCATTATAACAAATATGTAACTGAATGAACTACTTAAATAAAATATTCACTACACTACCGTACAATATACACCAAGTCATGAATATTTCAAATTATCTAATGAAGAATATTCTAAATAAGTAGAATGAAAGGGCAGTCTAGACTGTAACAGCTGCAGATTCACAACTACACAAATGGCAGCAGATTTCCAAAAAATTGGTACTGCAGAATTGAAACTAAAGAAGAGTTGCAAAATCATTTTGGATATTCTGAATGAGGCTGGACTTGGAAAAGAGAGAGAGATCATGAACAGAAGTGAAAGGCTTGAAACTATAAAAAAATGGGCAAGGATGGAAACCTTTATCTCATGCTGAACCATCATTAAAGGACAGAAGATTTGGCCTCAAAATCTTAAAGTAGCAGAACTTTTAACAATAAAGACAAGGTCACTGGATGGAAATAAGCAGTAAAAACAAAAATGCTAGAGACAAAAGGCTTAAATAAGTTTAAGAAGGGATAGCAACATTGGTTTACTTGAAAACAGATATGAATACTGGCCTGCTTGCAGATTTCTCAAGTTACTGTATGTAGACAAATGGTAAAATTACTTAAGTAAGCTACTAAACATTCATGTTGGTTATAAATTTAAGACAGTCTGAAGTGCAAACTATTAAAGGAGTTAGTTCAAGACCATATAAACCTACAGATATGAATTTATAGCCATTAAAACTTATCCATTGTGTAAGCAAACCACTGCACTCTGTACATAAACCTTGCTGGTAAACTGTTTTCAGGATGAGTTCCACACATGTTACGGTGAAAAGTTCCAGTCTGTGGCTCGCAGATGTTGGGAAATCAATCCTTCTCAGCTTGTGGCAGTTGGTGTGAACTGTGTGAGCCCAAAATATGTGTCACCACTTCTTAGGGGTATCAATGCTGACAGATCAGACAATCCATTTCCACTCATTGCCTCTCCTAATAGTGGAGAGAACTATGACATACAGAAAGGGTGAGTTTCTTTAAATATTACAAAATAACTACTAGAGAATTACTGCTAATTTGTTCCCTTCTTTCAAGTAAATACAAGAGAAAGGGAAAGGAACACTTCTAGGCAAGGAGGACTGAGGATCACTGAGACTGCTGTCCAGATCTGTCACCACAGAAGCTGATATGAGGACAGTGCACTGTAAGTGAACGGTTGCTTGCTAGTATGGCAAGTTTGTTTCTTTGTGTGTGCATTTATCTGCATGCATACACACACACCCATAAAATAATGATGGTAATGTCATGAGCAAAGAGACTCCAATTTGCATCAAGGAACTGAGAAAACTGCAAACATCTCAACAGAGTAGTTGCTCCCTTGACAAAGTTCATCCTGAGTAAAGGCAAAAAGGTAAAATTGTCCCTGTGCTTAACTAATTAAGCACTACACCATGAAGACGTATAGGCAAGTGGATGTATAGATCGACATTTTCTTGACCTCAGCACTAGTTGTGAGTGTGTGGTCAGCTTCACGCTCTGGCCGCTTTACTCCCAGGGAAAAAGCCCCCTAGTGCCAATTGGATAGGAGGCTTGGTAGGTCCCAGGTCTGGTATGGATGCTGTAGAGAAGAGAAAATTCTTGACCCTACTGGGACTTCAACTCCAACTCCTCGGTTGTCCAGCCTGTAGCCAGTCACTATACCAACTAAGCTATCCTGGCTCCTGAGTACCTGTTAAAAATAGGAGAAGTTTCTACTGCGCCATAATGTTCAATAACTATAAGATAACTGATGAAGGAACAAGAAGTGAAGATTATGACTACTATCATTCTTCTTCCATTCCAGTGACAGTCTTCATCCTTTATTTTTCTATTACAGAAAATATGTTATTTTATGCAAAGCTGGTGCTGCAGCTTACACTACTAATCATTCCATTAATGTTTTAAATGAGATGCTTGAAAACAGAATGGTAAGTCACAGGTTGTTGTCTGCAGGTATCCAGACTTAAATCCTTGTGATTTTTATGTGAAGAACCCTAATAAATAAAGTAAAATGCCCACACATCAGATGACCTTAGGCGAAACATCTGCGAAAGAACTGCATCTATCCAGGTGAGTGAACTCAAACTAGTGTCAATCTTTCAAGAAGCCTGAAGCCTGCTTAAGAGCAGAAGGGAGACAATTTGAGCATCTACTATGATGGTGAGTTCTTCTAGAGTTTATGTACTTTAAGAAATTATATGTTTTTAATGCGCGGCATACTTGCCACGACTCACATTACTCGTGCTTGTGCCACTCGCTGTGCTCACGAGTAATGTGGATGATACGACAAGTCACGAGACAAGCAGATTTTAAATTTTTAAGAACTATAGCCAATAAATTAAAATACGACTACAGCCTATACACACTATGAGTAAATATACAGATCCTCACGCGCCGAAGCCTGGCGAGCAACTGAAGTAGTGTGGATGAAGATTTACGAGCACAAGTAAAAACCAGATGGGTCTCCCGACGAACACAAGCACGAGTAATGTGGACACACCTTAAGACTCATTCTTCCTAGCAGATGATCGCTAAAGTTCTGGCTAACAGTCCAATGGTAAGAAAGTTAGGCTATTTGCCCCTTCAAGAAAGACTCCATCGAATAGAATAGCATTTATTGTTGAATTTATTTACACAGTTGTGAGAGACTGTAAGTTATTTAACACTTGATTGATATGATACACTCTCTCCCTCTCACATCTAATTTATTTTTTCTTTCTCTTACATTTTCTTTACTATCTACAATTTATTATTTTTCCCATTGTATTCTCCCATTTACATCTGAATCTATTTAAATATTTTCTATGTTCTTTATGTGTGGTCTGTTTGTGCAATTTATTATCTTTCTAATTCCTCATATATGTTAAGCCACCTTTTACATAAAACTTCTATCCTCCATTTTGCTGTGTCCAGACAATTCAGTAACATGTTTAGTGTCATTTCTTAAACACAGACAGCAGCTTCCCTTATTTATTCCTCTCCTTAACCCCCATAATTTTCAAAATTCCTGCATTCGTCCACACTGTACTACTACTTTAATTTCTAGTACAGCATTCAGTGATATGAATACATACAGGTATAATGCCCTCATTCTTATATCAACAATCATATTATAATGCAGATGGACTGATCGTGAAAAGTGCTGTCCAGTTGAGAATTATGTACCAGAATGGTTGACTTTGGGAGTAACTTACATCGGTGGCTGCTGTCGGACATATGCTGCTGATATAGCTAGGATTAAGGAAGAAGTCAACAAATGGACATCAGAAAGGAAGAAAATTAAAATTAATGGCCATACTTAGTTAAATTAATTTTACGTAATGATCAAGAGGCAGTGACATAGGCTGAATTTTCTTATCCTACATGTTATATACAGCTATCTTAATATACTGCCGCTGCTGCTGATGACAACAATACTAATCTTCTACTGCTACTGCTACTACTACTACTACTACTACTACTACTACTACTACTACTAATAATAATAATAATAATAATATAAAATACAGAGCCCAACAGCAGACTTTGGCCTCTTTGATTTTTGCTACCAGTGTTAGTTGCTGCTGTACACAAATGTTATCAATGTCTATCAGACCAGGTGTAATGCTGTAGTTCAAGATGAATATGGTAGGCCGCACACCGGCATGCATCAAAACATGTAACAGTCAAGACATGATGCAGACCAATCATGAGTGACCAATCATGAGTGAAGACTGCGTCTTTTCTCTCATGTCTTGATGCTTGTCTTGACGCAGGTGTTGTGTGGCCGCCCTAAGAAAATATGTGCGTTGCATTCAGACATGCTTTTTGATGTTTGAATACTGAGCATACCAAGCTGAATCACTAAGATCTACAGAGCTACTTGTAGTATTTGAGTATTTCTGTTTTACTGTCATTACTGAAAACTGACTGCTTTGTAATCTGGTAAAAATCCTTCCCAGACTATATCCAGAATGCTGGTCATAATTTGACAATATTCCCTTCAGTCAGTTTAAGTATGCCAACCCATATTTTATAAATGTAACCGGCCAGACATTCATGAGAATTGAGATTTTTATGGTGGTGTCTGTCCCTTGACTCATTTGCTGGTAGGTGTGCTCAACTTCATGGAAAACAGCACCCTCTTGTGGGAAATGATGCCATAAAGTCTGGTAGATATTTACTGATGTTTCGTAGGAACGTGCTGCCTCCATCTTCAGGGTAGAAGAGTAGATATCTACCAAACTATACGGTATCAATTCCCAGAAGACTGTAATCTTCAGCCAGATATTTGGTCACTCAGAACTGATTGTAGCAAGATACAGCTAAAAAAATGTGGACATAAAATGAATTAAAAACATGCAAGCTGACTGGAAAAAATAATTTTCTTGTATTTCTTTTGACAGCAAACATGTAGAATGACCACTTCAGTAAATAAGAAGTCAAGGAATTTCTCAGAATGCAGTCATGCTTCAGACTTACAACACAATGAATTCCCAAAAATGAGTCATGTTCAAAAATTGTACACCAAGTCCATTAGAACATGGGACATATGAGAGCTACATTCCTGAAGCTCCAGGCTTATGCTGTAATTCTTTTTTTATTATAAAACCAATAAAGGGCATCAGATAACACAGTATTAGACATTTAAACTATTAAAAATATTTAAAATAAGTTAATCACTGTTTTACCATGGATTGTTGAGAGTTGTGATTTGAGCTGCCAGAGCATTCACAAACTTTGAAAACAAATCATCATTTCATCAAAACTGGACATCTACAGCACCCCAAATGAGCTCAGGTTATGGGAGATTTCAGAATGGCCCTGGCTTGGCAGAGGACACCGGAGGAGTGAACGTTGGAATTTTGGGTTTTCTGAAGCAGTCCAAGGTCCAAAATTAGAGTTTCCAGTCATAAGTCCAGGAATTCAGAATGTAAGTCTAATGGACATTAATTTGGTGGGATCATAAATCTGGAAACATATAAGTTGGAAAATTGTTGGTCAAGGTACTTCTGTAACTGCATTCATAGAAGCATAAATGTTGGTTTAATATAGTTCAAATTTGAGAGATTAGAGAGCATCAGGCCCTTACATTTGTCTCTTAAAGCTATTACTTGAAAGAGTGTATTTGCAATGTAATTGATATTTCATTTTGAATAAATTTCTTTCATAATATCAACTGCCTTACTCAAAGATGTTTCCTATTTCAGACACTATATTCTCAACAGCAAAAGGTCAATATACTAAACAAGTAATCATAATTTGTCAGTGGTGTTGCAATAACTGTCCCAGTTTTTCAAGCACATTCACATATTAAAACTGACTACAACACAAAAATTAAATCAGTAAAAGTAGCACTCTCCCTATATTAGGCGATGGAGGTTCCCACATTTTCTAGACA